AACAGCTTGGTCATAGCAAAGAAGGAGTCGGTGGCTTCCATGACACCAAGGTGCTCCCCCTGGTTGTTTGGAAAGAAGAAAGGAAATCCCAATTATTACAACCAGCTTTGGGCCTGATGTACGTGTCTGTATAGATGTACGTTTTCTTTCTCTTACCTGGTTTATGAGATACAAGATCTTGGTGAGGATATGAGCACATTTTCGTGGGTTTATGGGAGTCTCATTAAACACTCGAGCCTGGAAGCAAAGCACAGACGAGGACTGACACTGACCCCTTTGCAAACATTGTCCTGCCTGTCCCAACTACACACTGTGAGTGAGGTATGGCAAGATTATTAATGACTTTGGATCAGATTTCCCTTTAATTCCTGCTAAACATGGGCCCCTTTAAACAGCTAGTTTTGCAGTCTGGGATTACAAATCCAAGAGCAATAGAGGTTTTAAGGCTAAATTCTCATCACACTTTCACCCACACTGGTCTGCACTGTGTGTTAGCTAAAACACCACTCTTCTGACAGACAAACTTGAGCTCACTGAGGCTATGGGAGCCAACAGCATTCCCAACCTCACAGGCAAATAGAGAATGCTGAACCAACAGGGGCTGGGGATTGAGATGTTCACCTGCTCTTGAAAAGAATGGTATTTCTTCAGAGAAAATTCATAAAACTATTTAATAACCACTCACACCCCTCTCACTAATATTGACATCCACAAGACATTTGGGGTGTCCAAGGCCACTTTCCCAATCTTCCTGGTCTGGGGTGAGCTTTCCCAGATAATTTTATTCCTTTTATTACTATTTATAGGTCACAGTCTTTAATTTTTTAGAGACCATTTCAACCTTCTCCCTTCATCTGTCCAATAATTAAATAAGAACTGTTGCCTATTTCTTTCAGAGCAAGCAGAACTGTAACAAACCCTCATTTCCTTGCTGAAGTTCTCCAGTGACCTACTCAAGAGAGGGAGAGACTCTATCCAGTGGGGTACACAGAGGAGATGGCCTGAAGATTTACCTCTTGCAAGACTGCACTCTTCTCCAGGTGCTGGAATGGGTTGGAATTCCCACCTGCAAAACAAGGAGAGTAAAAGTCTCTCCAAGGATAGTGCCATGGGAAAGCAACTTTTTAACGATGCTCATACTTTAAAAACAGTCTGAGCATTTTGGGGTGATTTTTTTTCATAAACACCAAGCAATGAGAGCATCCTCTTTGAAGTAATATTAATTGGATGTCTTCATGGCAGTCAGGGAAGGCAGAGCAGACAGGACATTCTTCGATTTGCCATTCCCTCCACAAGTAACTGACTGTGAGCTGAGGTAGACTGATTAGCTGTAAAATAACTCTGCTCCACGGTATCCCCAAAGAGCTATTTCCACCCCTGGGCTGGGAGCTTGCTGGCAGTTAGAGCATCAATAGGACAAGCCTAGAAACAAAAGCTTAGACAGAAAGAGATATCACTTGCCAGACTGGTGAGTAAGAAGTGTTTTATCCCTCCCATATAAACCAAACAAAAATCCACCAGTAAAGTATTTTTGGCTCTATCACTAATGAAGAGAACAAGACAGCAGATTAGATAGGCTGGACACAAAGTAACTTTCATTGTTCCACTTAACAAAGTAAATAATACTAAATAATTAGACCCCCCTAGCAATTAAGGATGAAATAATCAGAGGGAAAAGCACTATTATTCTGCATGGTCTCTATTAGATTGCCTCCCAAGCTTCTGTGAGCTGCAGCTTTTCAAAAGCTACTAGTTATTGATAAGCAGGTTTTAATTAGAACCTATGTTCAGCCTTGCTCTGGCACACAATGCAGCCTTTTCCAGGGCTGTTCTAGTCTTTGTTCCAGAGCCTGGTCCACCAGAGAGAACATCTCCTAGGCCAAAATCTGACCTGACCCAAGCTTGAAGCATCCTAGGCTGGTGCCAGGAGCCCTTTCTAGAGTAAGCCTTACATACAAAAGTAAACACATCTGCACTCTGGCTCCTTCCTGGTTCATAAAATGCCCTCCTCTGGCTCAGGAGACATTTGCAAAGGCAGCAGGTGGCTGAGCAAAACACAGACTCTTATGTGAGGTTGAAGAGGTAGAACAAAACAAGGAGAAAGAGCAAAAATGTCTCTAGTATGGGTATGAAGCAGTTCTAGGATAAATATGCTAATGAGTTCCAAAAAACCTGCCCAGCAGCCCAGCATTTCCATGGTCCAGCATGTCTACAATTCTTCAATCAGCATGAACAACACTGCATCACCTCTTTATCCCTCACAGTACTAAGGATACTGAAATACATTGTACATGGGGTCTCAGTCCTCACAGCACCCTCCATCAGTTTTCCTCCATGGAGAGGGAGAAAGATGCAGGGAGGGCAGAGGCTGTGTGTTCATAAAGTTCCTAATATTGGGTAACTAACAACAATTTATTCTGATTTGTAGAGGAACGCAATTTTGTGGCCAAAATGACATGTCAAAGGGAGTGGGAGCAGGTCATCAAAGGCTAGCAAAACCACACACAGAAAGCAAATTAGCTAATTAACTAGATACGTGCATCTCCTGCCAGCCCTAGCCACAGATAATGTCAATACCTTGATGGGTGTGGCAGGTGCAAATGAAGAATAGCCCCCAGAATTAAAGCCAAGACCAATTCCCCTCCAACAGCTGCATCACTAAATTCTCTGCTTATCAAGATGTCACTGGAGGCCTTGGAAAATGGAAACAAGGGCAAAGCATTGAATGCCCATTAAGATAAAAAGAAAGCACAGTCACACAGAATAATCACCAAGATGTAAGCTGAATCAATTTGCTTCAGGACACACTGATTTGTTATGCAGAGCAAGACATGTAGAAAGCTTCATAGGAAGATGAAAAAGATGCCACAAAGCTAAACCATGAAAGGAAACACTGTCTTATGTTGCATCGCTTCCACCTGAATTACACATCACATAAAATATAACCTCTTCCTTACTAATCGGCCTAAAGTTTTGAAAAGTCAGGCAATCACTCCATGTTTCCTTGGTGCTCTCAGATTTTCTGACCCATTGAAAGTAGCAGTGATTGTGGGGCCAGAAACGATGAACTGGATTCTACCCGGCTATAGCACCTGCTTCCAGAGCTGCGCAACTGTGAACAGGGCTAATATGCTCAATTTACTCTCAGGCTCTGCACCTGGTGATGTGGCACTAACCTCGCTGTGCTGTGCTGTGCCGATGCAACCCGTTTAGCCTGGGCTGCAGCTGCGAGAAGGAGGCAGCAGACTGCCCTAGTGCTCCCACAGCGCTCCCACAGCGCTCCCACAGCGCTCCCACAGCGCTCCCACAGCGCTCCCACAGCGCTCCCACTGCGCACACCAGCAAGCCCCCGCTGCCGAGCTGGCACCGAGCCTCCCCTCCCAGCTCTCTCCGTCCCTCACAGATGCCCTCATTTCCACAGGAGGGGTCTCTTCCCTCACAGCTCTCCCCGTAGCCACGGAGGGGTCCCCCCTCACCAATCCCCTCCGTACCCACAGAGGGGTCTCTCCCCTCACAGCGCCCCCGGCCTCCCCTCACCCGACTCCTCGTCCTTCTTGTCGAACTTCTTCAGCATGGTGCTACCGAGCGGCCTGACGCTGCAGCCCTCCCGTCCCGTGGCACTGGCAGTTCCAGCCTAGATCCCGATCTCGATCCGGATCCTGATCGTGGTCCTGGTGCGGGTCCCGGTCCCCGTCTTGGCACCACCCCGCCCCTTCCTGCCCCCGCCCTTTCCTGCCAGCCTGTCACTGTCACCGCGGCCGCCGCACTGCGCAGGCGCGGGAGCCTCCCCCCAGGACGTGTACAGGGCGTGGCGCGGAGTCGTGACTGACAGGGATGGGGCGGGGCCAATAGGCAGTGACGCGGTCTGATTGGCGGGGGTGGGCTGGCGTGCTCGGTACACTGGGGCTGGGGAGAGCACGGGGCCTGGGGGGTGGCACTGGGATCCCTGAGCTGGGCAGGGGAAGGGCACAGGGGAGATGAGGAGCCACTAGGGGCAGAGGGGGCTGAAGCATGGGGGCCCATTGGGTCTCGGGGGGGACAGATGAGGCACAGAGGCAGAACATGGAAATGAGGAGATCCTCGCAGGCTCAGCGAACAACTGGGAGTGGCAGGGGAGAACCCCCTTATAGGGGTTGGACAGTTGTCACTCAGGCTGCCTGCCCTGGAGTGTCCTTCTTGGATGCACCAGCTCTGGCAGGTTTTCCTATGACCCCTGTCCCCCACTGCTACTGGCACCCTGTCTCTACCCTGGACCCCAAACTCAGCTGCACAGCACACACCCAGTGGGTGCAGGGGGGTATCTCAAGGGGCCAGGCACTGCCCGGGCATCACCTGAGCCTCAGGTCAGGCAGGGATGGCAAGAAACCTTTTATCCACCTTGCCACCTCACCCCAACACAACTGTCACATCCCTTCCTGAAATCGGTCCCTTCCATGGAATGTGGGCTCACCCCAGCTGCTTCTGCCCCTTTCCCAAAGCCAGTGCCCACTCCACAGTGCAAGGCTCACTCACCCTGCAGCAGGTAGTCCTCGAAGAGCATGGCCGTGTCCCCCACCAGCTCCAGTGTCCCCCTGCAGGTGTCTCCCGGACGCAGCCTTGCTTGCACCACCCTGTACTTTGCACGGGGCGGCCGCACTCTGCTCTGCTCTGCTCTTATCTCCCAGCTGTGCTGAAAGCAGCAGTTCCAGTGGCACAACAAGATTTCCCTGTTGGCCCAGAGTTGCTGCGGGCTCCCTGGGCTGGCTCCACTGTTGGTGCAAGGTCTGACACCCCTCATGTGGAATTTAGTGACCTCCCGTGCTGGCCCTGGCCAAGCACATGCCCTCACAGCATTTCTGGGGAAAGGGAACACAAAGTGGGAGTGTAAAGGGTGCAGAACAGGTATAAAGCACAAGTTGTATTTGATGCCACATTTTATTGTGCACAATCACTCAAAACTCCGGCTTTGAGGCTTGTCTAAGCTCTGTGGAGGATTTTGTGTGCTTCAGTCACCCAGAGAGAAGAGGCACCCAGGAAAAGCTGCCTGGCTGGATGCAGCCCCTTTGGAGACACCTAGGAGGTGGCTGAGCAGGGAGCAAAGCCAAGCATGGGCTGTAGTGCCTGGGACTGGGACCAGCTGTGCTCAACCAGTGGCCAAGGTAAACCCAGCTGTGTCTCCTCCAGTGGTGCTGAGGTGAGAGTTATTAAACCAAATCCTCCCATGGCTGCTGCTTGTGCCATGAGCACTGGGACCAGGGGGACGAGGTGCCACGTCCAGTGCCCTGCAGACACACGGATGCTGCTCCACGCCTCCCTCTGCCAGCGCCCCCGGCAGCCCCGCTGCCCTCTGCAGCCCTGCTGGATGCCAGCCAGCACAGTTCATCTCCTGCGCCCCAGGCGGGCCATCAGCTCGGCGTTGGCAGCTGCCTTGGCCTGCAGTTCCTTCTCTCTGGCCAGGTCGAGCAGGATTTTCAGTAGGTGAGTGTGGACATCGAGTGACAGGGACACCTTGCTCCCCTTTTTGCTGGAGCCGCTCTCTTGGCGGCTGGGCTCATCAGCCAGGGCAGGGCTTGTCTTTCTGATCCCTCTAGCAGCGACAGGCTGGCTTCATCCAGTTGAGACCCTGCTCCAGAGCCATCGTCACCCCTCCTCATTTTGGAGAGACCAGGCAGCATCTTGTTATGGCTGGTGCTTTCCTGCCTCATCAGCTTCCCTCCATCCACGCTCTGGGGGGCTGGTGAGGGCCACTCACGGCTCGGTCCCTTCCAGGCTCCTGTGGGTGCCCCGAGCAGCACCAGGAAGGACAGCAGCATCCTGCCTCGCAGCGTGGCCGGGGGTGCCTGCGGGGAGCACGTGGCTTGGCTCTGAGCATCACCCCCACCACCCTGCCACTGCCCCACAGCCCCCGGGCAGGACACGTCCCCACCAGGGTGTCACCCACTGAGCCCCTCTGCTCCCTGCACCAGCTTCTCCTTTCAAGAACCCTAATGATTCCACCCTGATTTTAACACTCTTGAACAGGGTGGGGAATTTTGGGGGGCTGAAGGGGACATGGGAAGCAAATCACCTGGGTGTCCTTGTCCTTTCACACAGCTCCTGGCCAGATGCTAGCCATGCCCTCAATTTCACACCCCTCAGCCCTTTGTCACCCAGGGAAGGAGTCAATCCTGCTCAGGAGGGTGCCTGCCAGGGTCCTGTAGCTGCTTCCCAGCCCATTCCTGCCCTTTGGCCAGAGAAATGCCTGGAGTTTCAGGGCTGGACAGGCAGTGGAGCTTTCTTCCTCACACGCCTTCCCTGGCAGATGCCATTCCCCACTGTGTTGCTGGGCTCTTTGGGGCAAAAGTCACCCACCGAGGAGGGACACGAGCCACTTGGACTAAAATACACAGCATATTGGGGCAGGAGACTGGCCACAGGTCCTGAGTTGTGTCAAGCCTCAGCAACTCTCTCCACCCCATCCCTCACCCTGGTCACAGGAGGGCCCCAAGGATTGCAGGATACTGTGCTACAGGGTGGAGATCAGGGTGCTGGGATGTGGGGTGGGGGTCAGAGCAGGTGCAGGGACACTGCTGCACAAATCCTGCTATTTAGCTGCCTCTCCCCAAAATCAGTCACCCAGCAGAGTATCTCTGGGGTGAAACCCTTTGGAAAGTACCAGAGTAGGCAGCCAGAGGCACTTAACTCGCTGCAAAATTAGGAATGAAAGGCATCTAACCCCCTGCAACCTCTTTCCCAGCTAAAAGCCCCTGAAAAGCACCACTGAGGGCACAGCCTCACCATTTGCAGCAGGTCCTTGTCTCCTCAGTGTTCAGGCGGTGCTCCCAGGGTGCAGGGACCACAGCTGGGGGTTTGCCCTGCTCCCTGCCAAGCCCTGGCTCTTATCCTGTCCCAGCTCCACCTCTGACCCGCAGAGGGGGTGACGGTGACAGGGGGAAGGTCGGGGGGCAGTGTGTGGAAATGTTTTTAATAAATTTTGCCTAATGGCAGATGAAATCATCCCAGGATGTGGGTGGGTGGGTGCCCCCTTGCAGCTCCACCAGCTGCATTTGGAGGGGATTCCGGGAACCTGGGACAGCTCAGTTGTAATTGTTTCATGTTTGACTTGCAAGATGTTTTTTCTCCATCTAATTACGCCTCCCTGCTCCTGTCAGGCTTGGTCATCACTTAAGGGAGGGAGAGAACTGCCCATGATCCCAGCAATGTGCACGACCTCTGGGCACTGTGCCTCCCAAGGCCCCTCACAAGGACAGCTCCTGGTACGAGGCTGGCACTGTGTCCCTTCCCTGGCCACATGGAGGACATGTCTACAGACATGTCACCTCCCGGCTTTGGCCACTGGATTGCAGGACACCAGTGGCTTGCAGCTCACCTTAATGCATTCCAGCTGGGACACCACTGGTTTGCAGGCACCTGCACCAGTCCAGCGTGGCCCAGCTGCCCAAGGGTAGCAGCCTGTAGGCATTGCTGTGGGGTGAGCCCCATACACAAGGGTTTTGCTCCAAATTTCTCCCCTTAGGGAGTGTGGGAGCATCCCAAGGCTCCTAGGCTGTGTGGGCACTGCATGAGGTGAGTTGTGGGTGCTCAGCCCCACGGGCTGGCCAGGAGTCAGGGTGCCCAGGGTTCAGACCACTGGGGCTCTGCCCACCCCTGTGGTCTGAACCGATGGGTGACCCATCCTGTGCCAGCCTCCCCAGGACAGCAGGGAACAGAAATAATGCCAGCTTTGTTCCTCCTCCCAGGGACAGCCAGGAACTCGCACCCAGAAGCCAAAATTAGCTGGCAGCACTGATTCACACAGTACATCATGCAGCTCCACAGAGCCACGTGCTGACACGTCAGGGCCTGGACAGGGGGTCATGGCCTGGCTTGCATCAGCTGGGCACGTGCTGGGCACACGGATGGGGCACTGGGCTCCCTGGAAGGGGTGAGCAACCCCAGCCAGCGCTGCCAGCAGTGGGCAGCTGGAAAGGGCAGCCCAGCTGGGGTGGGCAGGGGGCATGCCTGAGTCAAGAGCTGTCCCCAAACTCCACAACCTAATCTCCGGCAACGTGCCAAGAAGTGTGACATCTCCCTGTGAGCACAGCTTTAATACACATCTCCCTGCATTGGTACACATAGACATTTGCTGTATATGGATATACACAGAGAACAGCAGTACGTGTGGGGGCCACAAAGCCCACCCAGCAGCCCTGGGGCTCTGGGGCAGTGAAGGGCACGTCCCTACTCAGCCCTGGGGATGGGGGAACAGGGGCTGTGACATCACTTTCACAAAGCCTTTGAGAGTACGTGTGGGCGAGCAGGAACCGCTTCTAACATAGCACCATCCTCAGGGCTTCCCTGGCAGGCCTGGGGGGTACAGGTGAGATCCCCCAGATTAAAGCCAGATGGGCTGCTGGCAGACGTGTGAGCTGGAGGGTAGCACATGGCAAGAACCTCCAGTCTCCCCACAGGTCACTGCCAAACCATCGCAGCCACAAAAGGGGAACTGGGCCCTAGCTGAGGTTAAGGTGAAATTTATTCAGATGGAGCTCATTGCAGGGTGGGGGTGAGGGATGTTGTGCAGGGAGGCACTGCCTGGCACAAGGATGTGGGCAGCTCTCCCAGCAGAGACTGGGGAGCAGAGGGAAGTTTGGGGGTCACTGGGGGGTAGGAAAGGGCACAAGGGTATTATGGGAGGGAGCCCAACTATGCCAAGTCCTACCTCTGCTTCCAGAGAGAGGGAACAGGGCTAAGAACCCTTCTGCTGGCAACAAATAATTTAAAAATCAAACTGAGAACAGCCCAGTAGGAACAGGGGGTTCAGAGCCTTGCTGGGAGGCAGTTTCCCATTTGACATAAATTTCACCTTAATGACAATAAACTGATATGAAATGAAAAACCCATGAGCAGCATAAAGACAGTTTAGAAATAGCACCAGGTTCCTGCTGGGGCTGGTGGGTCCAGGCTGCTGCCAGCACGGGCAGCCCAGCCCCGGCCAGGGCAGCACTGGGCCCCAGTTCCAGGCAGCCCAGCCTGCCGAGACACTGCCTGCATCTACACCTTTGGCTGCCCTCCCACCTTGCTGCCGGCACTGCCACGGGAATCTGCGGAGAGAAGCAAGGCGCTGTCAGAGCTGAGCTGGGGACCAGCACTGTGCCCCCAGCTCTGCGTTGCACGGCACAAGGCGGAGGTGCTGCTGTGTCAAGCGCGCCCACCTGGCGCTGGGCGCTGCCCGCAGCGCAGCTCGCACTCCTCCTTGCTGTCGAAGCGGTTGGGGTTGCCCCGGCAGCCGCTGTAGACGAAGGGCCGGCACTCGGTGACTCTTTGGTTGTAGTACCAGCGCAGGGTGTAGTGCTGGCAGTGCCCCTCGTCCAGCGGCAGCCGGCAGGGCTCAGCTGTGGGGCAAACGTGGCTGGTGAGGGCAGGCAGGGGCTGCCAGACCTTCTGGCACAGGAGGGGAAACCCCAGAAGGGCGAGGCTGAGCATGGGAAGGGTTTGGCTGGAGCAGATGTTTCTGTGCTCTGCCCAAGTGCTGGAATTGAGGGCAGGAGACTCCACTCTCTCTCCCGGGACAGCTCCCAGCAAAGAGTTGGGAGGGAGATGGCGTGGGGACATGATGGCCACAGCATCCCTTGAAAGGATTATAGAGGGACTCTCCAAAGGCTGCTGCCACTGGGGCTTCCCTGATCTCCTGGTGCCTTTGGGATCCATCCTGTGGCTCATGACCAGAGCACAGGAAACCTGCCAGGGCAGCAGGTCCCACAGCCCAGCACGCCACTGGTGATGCTTCAGTGGGGGGGATAGAGCACAAGGTCTGCATGGTGTGGGCAGCACAGTGACAGAGAAGGTGCAACCCTCTCAAGTACCAGCAAGAGGGCAGGAAACCCCAAATCCCCCCAGACAGACGGCACAGGGACCCACTGCTCAGATGGATGCAAAGACACCACCCCAGGAAACCCAGGGCAGCTCCATGGTTTCCCTCAGTAGCTTAGCTCTCAGTGCCAGGTGAGTGCAGGGAAGCTCACCATCCACTGTGGGCTGCTCCAAGCTGTCCACCTCCGGGACCTCATCGTAGTCCTCCTCCTCCCCATCCATGCTGTCATACACGAGGTCGTCATTGTCGAGCATGATCTGCCTGTCCTGCCCTGGGAGACAGCACCACACGTGAGCAGTCCTCACCACACACATGGGGCACAGAAAAAGGGGGACAAGGACTAAAAGCACAGGGATGACACACCCTCATCCTCCTCTGTGTGTGATAACTTGAGCACAGGAACTATGTGAGCGCTGCCAGCAAGGAACGGCTGAGTGGAGGAGGACCCTGTCAAGGAGACACAGGCATCAGGGAAGAGGCAAAGGAGTCTGGGCTGATTTCCCCTTATTTCCCAAGGGAAAACCACCCCTTTCAGGTGTGGAGCAGTGCAGCACTGCCCAACCCTGTTGCAGCCTGACAGGGTAGATGGACAGGGATGGTGGACCTGGAGATACCCCCTCCTCTCTCTGCACCACAGACCAGGGCTGCCATGGGGGCTTCTGGAGGAGGCACAGGCAGGGGAGGCCCAGAGAGACAGCACCCACTTGGAGCCCAGCAGGACAGGGGCAAGGGAGGGCACAGGGAGGCACACATGCCCATGTCACCAGATCTCACAGATCCTCCAGACTCTCAATCACCTGTTTGGTCATGCTCGTTCTCCTGGCGAACGATTCTTCCTGCTCCCTGGGCAGAGTGGAAGCTGCTCCTGGCCTGAGCCCCCCAGCCTCCTTGGAGAGAAAGCACCCACCTCATCCCAGCCCACCCCTTGCCTCTGTCCCTCCAATCCCACTCCTCCAGCCTACCCTTCCCTCCAGCATTGCTGACCCCTGCAGGACCCCTGCCCCAATTCTGACACCCAATAGATGGGGTACAGTTCCTGTGATCCCCTCAGCTGGGCAGACCCTGGCAGCACCCAGACCCCACTGGCACCATCCTGAGCCAGCTGTCCCTGGGATCCCTGTGCCATCATTTCTGCCACACACCTTCCCTTCTCCCTGTGCAGGGTCCTGCACTGATGCTAACCCTGACTGAAGGGTCATGGAGGGTGCCAGCCACCTCCAGCTCCCCAAAACCAGTGGCACACCTGGGTGCCAGGGCTCCTTTTGTGCCACACGTGTGGGGCAGGGGGATAGGAAGGAAGAGCTGCAACCTGAGTGCTCACGTGAATCCTGATGCCGTGGAAAGTGGCCACCACAGGCTGTGGGAGAGACAGGGTGGGGTCAGGGGTGGCAGGTCCAGACCCCCAGCCCCAGGGCAGCAGCGGGGGATGCTCACCACAGTGCTGGCTCATCTCCTGCCTGACGAAGGCACGGATCTCCTCCTCCTGCGGGGCACATGAAGGGGCAAGGGTAGTAATGGGGGATGGTGCAATTCAAGAGGAAGAAAAACCCTTTCTCCAGGGTCTAGCAGAGCCCAGAGGTGAGGGCAGCCCCTATCTCAGTGGCAGTGGGATGGATCCAACACCCCTTCCCACCCCACTGACTTGAGTGCCACGAGCGTATGCTGGCACCCTTCTGGCTCCTTACCGTCATTCCTGGCTCCCCCTTCTCCCCACGGAGCCCGTGGGGGCCAGGACTGCCCTGGGGACAGCAGAAAGGAGGTGGGAAGCTGGCCCTGGCTGGAGCTCATCCAGGCAGGGCCAGGCACCCAGACACTTACCTGCTCTCCTCTCTCACCAGGGATGCCTGGCATGCCACGTGCACCCTGCACTGACTGCCCAGGGGGGCCTCTCTCCCCCTGCAAAGGACATGTGCTCAGGATCTGGCTGGTGGGTGCTGGAGTCTCTCTGCTCTCTCCAGCACCATGGATGTGCTGCTTTCCCCACGCCTGCACCCCAGGGATGCCAGTGCAGGTGGGGATGGGGACAGGTCTGGCTCAACACAAGGACAAGCAGGGCTCCAGATTCCTCCCCTCAGACTCCATCCCCTGGCCAGGGGGACACAAGGGAGGAACTCAAAGCCAGCGAGCTGGCAGGGCAGGACAGAGCTGGGACATGATTCCAGATGCCACCCACCCCTCACCCACGAGGGGGACTGGGCCCTCCCATCCTCCCAGCCCCAGAGGGGTCCAGTCACCTGTGGTGAAGACTTACCTTCTGGCCCTGCATGCCCTCTGGACCTCGTGGGCCAACGCTCCCTGAGGGCCCAGGGGGGCCAGGAGCACCGTCACTGCCTCGGGGACCAGGGCCACCCATAACACCCGGGGCACCCTGGAGGAGAGCAGAGGGTGAGGCCAGGGCTGTCAGAGCAGATGCCATGGACATCCTCTGACCCCACAGCTGGGCATCCCCAAAAAACCAGCACTGGTGCCTCCTTATAAAGAGCAGAGAATTGTTGTCAGTCCTGTTTAGTGACATAATTTAGAGCAGCACTGAATGACTCTTCTGGGAGCATCAGGCTGTGTCCTGGTACAAGCAATGTGGTGCAATGCATCCCATCCCTTTCCAGCTGCTCACCCGGTCTCCTTTCTCCCCCTGGTCTCCTTTGGCTCCCTGCTGCCCATCAAATCCCCGGTCACCCTGCAAAGAGGAAGAGACAGGCAGCAGGGGACACACAGTGGGGGGCAGGCAGCGAGGGGATGAAGTGCCAGCACAGCTTTTTTTCCCAGCACTGCTCTAACCTACCTTGGGTCCCATGAGCCCTTCCTTTCCAGGAATGCCCGGTGGTCCTGACAGACCCAGCTCTCCCTGGGGGACAAAGCAGATGTCCATCAGGCACAAGCCACGCTCTCCTGTCCCACCCTGGTGTCAGTGAGGTGCTTACCGGCTCTCCTTTCCTCCCTGACAGTCCTGAGCGCCCCGGGATCCCCGGCTCTCCCTACAGCAGGCAGGAGAGAGGCAGGGCACTCAGTCCTTCACCCCTCAATGCTCACCCCAGAGCCACAGGCAGAGGAGGGGACACCATGACCCTGTCACGGGGTCAAAGTCTGGCCTCAGCCATCTCCCCGCTCCTGCTGGCTGATGGAGGGGATCCAAAGGGCCACAGCCTCCACAAAAATCCAGGCTCCTGCAGCACCCTGCAGGCACCCACTCACCTTCTCGCCCTTGTCCCCATTGAGGCCACAGGCACCTTTCATGCCCCGCTCACCCTGCAAGGATGGGAAGTCAAAGCCACGCCAAGCCAGCACTAGAGAGCACTGACAACCAGAGAAGCCAACCCACCTTGAGGCCACGCATGCCCAGGGGTCCCATGTCCCCCTTCTCCCCCCGGGCCCCGGGGATGCCATCACGGCCAGGCTGGCCCTGTGGAGAGCACACAGCATGATGAGGGTCTGCTCCTGCCCTGCAGGGGTGGCAGAGCCACAAAGACAAACTCCTCACCGGCTCTCCAGGCTCTCCTGGCACTCCAACCTCTCCCTGGGGAAGGCAAAGGCATCAGTCAGGGCAGGTAGGGGGATGGTGCCACCAGCATCCCCCAGCAGAGGGGCTGCCCAGCTCCATACCTTCTGCCCGCTAGGGCCACGTGCCCCAGGGAAACCCATGGAGCCTTTCTCTCCTTGTTCACCCCTCGTGCCCTGCAACAGAAACCCAGATCAGCACAGGGCAGGAGGGAGAGCTCCAGCCACAGCCACCGCATGGCCACAGTACAGCCATGGTCACCTCTGAGGCCAGTCTGGCAGGTCCCCTTGCACCATGTCCCTGCTAGCACCACCACACAGGGCACAGGGATGCTGTCATGCCCTGCTTCCTCTGTCTCTTTCCCTGTCAATAGCCCTCCATGATTCCCAACCCAGCAGCTCCCAGCCCTGCACAAGTTCCCCCCAGCCCTGTACCTTCTCTCCAAGCATGCCTTGCTCCCCCTTGTCCCCCTTGTCCCCTTCTGTGCCCTTCAGGCCACGCTCTCCCTGCAAAGGAGGAAACACAGGGAGGGGTCAGGGAATGAGGAGAAGCTCAGACACACATCAGGGTGGGGAGGACAGACTCCCATGGGGGCCTGCAGGGGGAACATGGGGGTCTGTAGGGTGGCTGAAGGAGAGGGGACAATACACTCTGCAAGGGAGGGTCCCCCAGCAGGGAAAAACTCCAGCTCTTCCCAGAGGGACAGGAAGGATGGGGAGAAGGAGGACAGGCACAGCTCTTACCGGCTCCCCCTTGCTGCCCCGTGCTCCAGGCGGCCCCTCCACCACCACAGTATCGCCCTGTACACCCAAAGCAGAGAGAGGGGTGGGGGTGAGAAGGGGGGCCAGGGCTGCTCCCTGCCTTCCCACTGCCCCCCGCACCAAGGGCTCACCTTGTCTCCTTTGGGTCCTGGGGCCCCAAGGTCTCCCTGTGAGGATGAGGTGAGATGTTGCGAAGATGCACAGTGGGGAGCAGGCAGCACCTCCCTGGGCACCCAGCACCTGGAGGTGCATCACTGTCCCCCAGCTCCCCAGCCTGCAGAGCCCCTTACCTTGTCCCCACGCTCCCCGCGGTTGCCAGGCAAGCCCTGTGGGGGACAAGGGAGGTGTGGTCAGGAAGGGATCACAAGATCAGGGTGCAGCTGAGGAAGGGAGGTACTTACTGCTGGCCCACGATCCCCTTCTGGCCCTGGGCGCCCATCCTCACCCTGCAAGAAGGAAGGGATGTGAGAAGGGGGTTGGGGGCACCCCAGCATCACCCCACCCCAGGGACAGCTGCAGCTCTGGCTCAGAGACCTGCCAGGCACCATGTCCCTGGCTGTGGGGACATGGTGGGGACTGTGGCAGTACCTACCCGTGGTCCTGGGTCACCACGTTCACCTCTGGCTCCTGGCAGCCCAGCCCCTGGAGTACCCTGCCAGAGGAGGGCAAGAACTCATCCCCATCCTCACTGCCCACAGCCCCTCCCAGCCCTGCCGGGTACTCCCCATGCCAGGGACACCCCACAGTCCCCACCACCTCTCTGGGTGCCTGGTGCACAGGAGGCTCCCATGTGCCACCACCCAGAGTGAGCTCAGCACCCTCAGGGGTGAGGTGGCTGCAGGGACACTCCACAAGAGAAGCAGCCTCCCACCTCTCTTGCTATAGGGCTGCCCCTGGTCCTACCTTGTCACCCTTCAGGCCAGGGGCCCCTTGTATGCCCTAAAAGAAAGAAGAAGGGTGAGCAAACCATGGGAGGAAAGCAATGCCAGACACCCTGTAAACACCTCTGAGAGTCCCACTGCACACTCCAGCAACAGCCTGCCCCGGGGGCCAGGAGGTGCCAGCTGGTCCCTGTCAGCCTGTCTGAGGTAGCAGGGAAGGCAGGGCAGAGCCCACAGTCCCAGGAATGCTGTGGCACCATACTCACGGCCGGCCCTGGAGGCCCCACAGGTCCTGGTGGTCCAGCGGTGCCATCCCTGCCTGGAAAGCCGATCAAACCCTGGCAGGGAGAAAGCAGGGAATGGGCAGAGGCTGGGGCTGGGAAGCAATGAGGCTTGCAGGGACCTCAGTGACACTGCACAAGGGTCCAGGGTCACCAGGACCAGTGGTGCCATGTTCTGGTTGTAGTGTTTACCCTCTCTCCTGGGGGACCTGGAGGGCCAGGCTGTCCATTGTCCCCTCTCAGGCCTGGCTGTCCTGGCATCCCAGCAGGACCTGCTAAGCCTGGGGGTCCTGGTAATCCTGGCAAGCCGGTGTCACCCTGAAGTAGGGAAATAAAAGATGAAGTTCCTCAGGAGTGTGCTTTTCCCTCAGCCAGCTAAGCTAGACCACCACTGGGGCATTAGGAACATGATCAGAGCCAGGGTGACATGGGGACAGGGGTTACCTTCAAACCTGGAGGCCCGTCCTGTCCTGGTGGTCCCCGTGCACCGACGCCCAGCGATCCCTGCAAGGTGGCAGAGAGCGTGTGGCACATCACCTGGCTGGTGGGCACAGGGGTGCCAGGGCCATCATGCCACCCAGAGCACCCCCCAGGAACCCCCCTGGGGGCAGGGGACACGTACCTTCTCCCCTTTGGCTCCAGAGGATCCCTTGGCTCCCTGTGAAGACACCAAGCCCCCAGGAAGACCTGGGCAGTAGGTGGCAGGGGCACAGATCCCAGCCCCCACCAGCATCCACTGTCCCCAGTATCCACCCACCACCCCAATATGCCTTCTACTCACATCTTCCCCAGGATCTCCTGGCTCTCCAAGCTTTCCTGGCTCCCCCTGGCAGGGAAAAAGAAGGAAAAAGCAGATGTGTGGGATTATGAACTGGAGGAGCAGCTGCAGCTGGATCCCCACACTGTGGCCAAGCAGCCAGGAAGCCAAGGACCACACAACCCCTCCCCACTGACCCCCAGGGCAGCACTCACCTTCTCACCCTTGGGGCCTGGCAAGCCTCGGTCACCCTTGGAGCCCTGCCAGGGACAGCAGTGTTAGGGGACAGGGCAGCCACAGGGCTGGCTCGCCCCTCCGAAGGCAAGGGTGGTGGGAGGGGATAAGTTAATGCTAGGGAAAGGTGGGTGAGGGGAGATGAGGGTAATGGGAGTGTCAAGGTTTGTGGGGGTGACTCACGGGCTCTCCCAGCAGCACACCCTCCAGCAGCGCCGGCTCACCCTGCAGGGGACACTCAGATGTGCCCACTGTGGATTCCAGGGCCCAGCAGACCCCTGTCCAGCCCAGCCCCCACAGCCTGGCTCCTTACCTTCTCTCCCTTGGCTCCAGGGGGGCCGGTGATGGCCTGGGGCAGAGGACAGAGTGGGCAGGTGAGCGGGGCTGCACGGGGATGCTCCCCTCATCCTGGCCAGGGCAGCTCTGCACTCACCTGCCCTGGGGCTCCAGCATCCCCTGGCTCTCCCTTGGGACCAGCAGGCCCCGAAGGTCCCGGTAAGCCCTGGCACAAGTAAGCACAAGTGGCACAGCCCTCAGCCTTAGCTGCAGACAAGCCAGGCTGAGCTGAGTGGGGGTCCCCCTGGGATGGAGCACCAACGTACCATCTTCCCAGGCATTCCTGCCTCGCCGTCCTTCCCTGGCACACCGTCCCTGCCTGGCACGCCTGGCTTCCCGCTCTCCCCCTGCAGGCAGTGAGAGCAGGGGTGGGACGTGGGGGCCCTACAGCCCCCCAGGCAGCCCCAAGCACCCTCATTGGTGGCAGCCAGATTGGGGGTGCCACACACTCACCACTTGTCCTGGCAGCCCAGGGACACCCGGCGGGCCCTGCAATGAAGACATGAGCAGAAATCAAGCAGAAATCAATCAATCCCAGGCACCAGGAACAGCCAAGGGGTGGGTTTGGCGTGCAAATACCTACCCCTGGGCCCGGGGGACCAAGGGGTCCTGGCAGGCCCATGTTGCCCTGGGGGCCAGGCAAGCCCTGCAATGGAAACAGCCACATCAGAGAGAGGATGGCACAGCCAGCACCTTGGCTGCCCCCGTGGGAAGGTGTGCTGGGGTGGGACTGGCTGATTTTGGGGAGGCTGGATGGTTTTGGGCAGCCAGGTGGGTACTGGCAGGGAGGGTATGAGTACTCACACGGATGCCGGAGCCAGGTTCCCCCGGATCACCCTGGGAAGAACACGCTGCATCAGCCTGAGCACCCCCACCACCCAGCTACTTTGGTCACAGGCATACCTTCATAGCTGGATCCAGGAGGAGGTCCAGCCAAATGTCCCTCCCTCCAGCCCAAAACTTCCTGAAATGTGGTTCTCCCTCCAGTCCCCAAATCTGGCAAGGCACCCTTTCCCTCTGCCAGGCTGGACATGGCAATGCTGATGCAAATGCCAGTGCTGCTGCCTTACCTTGGCACCAGCTGGGCCCTGGGTCCCTGGTGGGCCAGCGCTGCCCTGCAGGGGACAAGGGGACATTATTGGGGTGGTGCTTGCTGGAGGCACAGAACAGAGAGGGGGCAGCAGGACCACTCAGTCCCAGCAGAGCCACCCCAACTCTGCTCCCTGGGGGAATGCCCACCCTGGCTGACATCGCCCTTGCATGACAGTCCCTGCACGTGGTGCAAGGTGGCTCCTTACCGGAGGTCCTGGGGGTCCTGGGTCTCCCTGATTGCCCTGAAGGGAGGAAGAAATAGGATCACTGCAGAAGTGGGTTTTCCCCCGTGGGAGCAGGGGGTGTCCCCAGGGAGAGCAGACCCAGACAGTGCCAGCAGCTCTGGTAAGCAAGCCTGGACAGGTCCTGCTAAGATGCAGGGGGCCAAGGACCCAGCCCAGCAGCAGGATGACCCCCAGGGTTTCACCAAGCATTCACAGCCAGGAGCCCCTGGCTGTGTGCTGAGGTGGTGGGGCACAGGGAGACACACAGACACCTACCGGGCGTCCCAGCACGCCAGGAAAGCCTGGCAAGCCCTGCAAAGAACCACATCAGAGTCAGTGCACAAGGGGAAACCCAGCACCTCCACACAGCCCTGCCTGCCCCCCAGGCATGCTCCCCATTCCCAGTGTGTGGTACCCAGCCAGGGCACTTAGGAGGGGCAGGAATAGGAAGAGGCCCCCAAATCCCAGGCCCTGCATGGGGAGAAGGAGGCGAATGAGGCATAAACGCTCTTGCTGGTGGTGGCTGGTGTGAGACCTCAGGAGCTCCCCCAGTCCCGGCCTGCATCTCTCCACCATGTCCCCACTCACCGGCTTCCCCTCAGGGCCTGCCAGCCCTCTCTCACCCGGGAGACCCTGGAGCAAAGGATGGAGACAGGGATGGGGTCAGTGCCAGGCAGGTCGGGGGCAGTGCCAGGCAGGGGAGCAGTGTGGTACTCACGGGGCTGCCGTCCCTGCCCTTCTCGCCAGGCTCCCCTCGGTCACCCCTCAAGCCACCTTCACCCTGCAGTGGGGACAGGCACAGGGTCACAAGACAGGCAGGCACCTTCCCACGGCCTCCCAGGGCCTGCTGAGGGGTGTGCCCAGCAGTGCCCTCACCCAGGGCTTTGCTCCCTTTGACATGGGACATTTATAACCTCAGACCTTGTCTCCTTTGGGTCCCCGCTCGCCATCAGCTCCGGGCTCACCCTGTGTTGGGAAGAAGACAGATGCCATCAGCCCTCACTGCCCCTCTACCCACCACCATCCTCAGCCACAGCCCAAGATGTTGCCCCAGCTCTGTTGTCTCAGCTGCCTTCACCTTTCAGACCAGCCACACACCTTGGCTCCTTTGGGTCCGAGGGGGCCGCGTTCACCTGGGAGGCCCATCAGGCTGCCCTCCACCACGTCCACCTGCGGGAGGGCACAGTCAGGCCCAGCACCCAGGGGACCTCAGGAAGGATCCCTCAGGGGCAAAGACAAGGGACTGGATTTGGTCATCCATCCCCAGAGGGGCAGGCTGGCACCTTGACGATGGTCCCCAGCAGCAGCCATCACCTACCTTGGGCCCTGGGGGCCCTGGGGGTCCAGGCAAGCCATCCCTTCCCTGCGAAGGGCAGAGAAATAGGTTGAGTGTCAAAAGGCATGGGAGAGCAGAGCCTTCCCGGTATGGCGAGGAAGGCATGGAAATGGGCATCTGCCTGCCCCACAGAGAGCCCTGCATCCCCTCAAGACGGGCACAACACAAGAGGGGATGGAGGGCACCATGTCCCAGCCCAGCTCACCTGCTCTCCTCGGTCACCCTTCTCGCCTCGGTCGCCCTGTGAGAACACCGTGGTGGCTGTCACGGGGCTGTCCCCAAGCCCCTAGACCAGGTCCCCCAGGCTTCACCTCGCACCTCCACACACACTCACCTTCTCGCCGGACCTCCCGGATTCCCCCAGCTCCCCAGCCCGGCCCGGCACCCCAGGAATGCCTGGCTTGCCAGGCTCCCCTGGCTGCCCAGGCGGGCCCTCGGGACCCCGCTCACCCACGGCCCGGCCCATGGGGCCCTGGGGGCCGGGGGTACCTGGGTCTCCCTTGTCACCTTTGGGTCCTCGCTCGCCAGGGAAGCCTAAGGAGCCCTGCAAAACAAAAGCTGCTTTGCCAGAGCCAGCCCTGAGGTGGGGCTGTGAGCCCTCCCCGAGCACCCAGGGGTGAGCTGGCTGCATGAACCCCCAGCCAGCCCAGAAAGCAGGAGTGGGCAGAGTGTTGGGGCTTGGCATCGAGCCTGGCTCCACTCACCTCTCGGCCTGGGGGCCCCCTTTCTCCTGGATCCCCCCGACTGCCCTTCTGGCCCCGCAGCCGCTCGACCACCGGTGGAAACGAGTCTGAGCTCCCGTCATAGGCACCCGTGAGCTCCTTCAGGGATGAAACCTGGGAGCAAGGAGAGAGCCACTGGTCAGGGAATAAGGAGAACCCAATTGTGGCAGCCCCACAGTCCTGCCAACCCATCCTAAATTGCTCGGATCCCCCACCACCTCCCATGCCCTCTTCCTGCTGCCATGTGGCAGGAAAAAGCCCCAGCCTGACAGTCAGGAGATACATACCTTGATGCCAAGTGCTTCCAGGCTACGTTCAATGTTCTGCAATAAAAAGACATTAAAAACAAAGTAGGTTCCCACCACAGAGGCTGTGGATGGTTCTCTGTCCTCCAGGGATGATGCTGCTGTCCCAGCTCAGGTCAGGGTAGGGACTCACCACTGTAGTCCCAGGGTCTCCACGTGCTCCAGGGTTGCCAGGTCGCCCCTAGGTTTAGAGGAAAAGAGGGAGTGAGAAGATGTACAGAGGTGCAGCAACCTTGGAAGGTTTCAGAGTTAACACTTTGCTGCCTGGGCAGGGGCTGTGGTTGTGACTGGGGTGCTTGTAGCTTGTTAGGGTCGGTGCTGGGTACTCACCGGCTCCCCTCGCAGTCCAGGCTCCCCTGGGTCCCCCTGAAACACAGCAAAGGGATCAAGAGGAGCAGTCAGGCTGCTTGGCACCAACTGTAGCACCAGGGTCCAGCCCTGTTTTCTTGGGGGTGGGACTCCTGCCAGGGGCTTATTCCCTCTGGCACACGGTCCCCCCCAGACCTTTGCCTTGGGGGACTGGGGGAAGGAGCACACTTACCTTTGGTCCAGCCACCCCACGGAGGCCTGGGGAGCCCTAGAAGACATGGAGGTGACACAATAGCACCCAGCCCCCATGGACACAGGGCAGTGCCCCGAGGGAGCCATAGATGGACTCCAGGGTCTGAGTGGCACCACGGGGTGGAGAATTACACACCTGGCCTGGGGGGCCAACCTGCCCTGGGACACCGGGGAGGCCAGGGGGGCCGAGGGGGCCTGGCACACCTCTGTCCCCCTGCTCGCCCTTGGCACCGCTGCGGCCCTGCCGAGAGAGCAGTGTCACCCTCAGAGTCTGGGACCAGGTCTGTGCCTGATGGGGGCATGTACCCAGCACCCCCACCACACACTCCTCTTTGGGGAGTACTCACCTCTCTCCCAGGTAGTCCTGCATCACCTTTGTCTCCCTAGCCAGGACAGAAAGGAGTTGGAGGGATGCTGCCCCATCCATGTGCCCCAGAATGGTGCTCCTGGTCCGGGCAGGGTGGAGCCACTGGGCTTGTGGGGATCACATGGGGACCACACAGGAACCACCCCTGGACCACCTCCTTACCTTTCTCCCATCCTCTCCTGGTGTCCCATCTTCTCCCTGGGAACAAAGGCTGCCTGTCAGTGCCCCACTCAACTATCTCAGCATGGGTACAAACTGGTGGATGGCTCAGAGCATGGGGGCTCTTTGCCACGTGCTCCCCTTGCCTTACATTGTACTGGGATCACTATCCCTCAGCATCCTGGGAGAGCCCCAAAGCCAAACCCTGTTTCCCCTACTCACATTCTTGCCATTCAGGCCAGGTTTGCCATCCTCACCGGGTTTGCCCTGGGAGGAGAAGAAAGGCAGTGAGGAAGCCCCTCCAGGCTCTCCACCAGCCAGGGGCACCAGCAGCCAGGGGTGCCTGGAACACACTGGAGCCTCAAGGTGCACGGAAGGGGGAGCTGGGCACAGGATCCTGCCAGATGGATCCAGCTGGGATCCAGAGAGGGCATGGGACAGGATGTGTCCCTAGGGTGGGACAGGATGTGTCCCTAGGGTGCAGGCTGGATGGTACTTACAGGCACGCCAGGTGGTCCCAGGGGACCCACGGGGCCAGGTGGTCCCTGCTCCCCACGCAGCCCAGGCAGCCCCTGTAGGGAAAGGAGATGGTGGGAGCACAAGGCAGCAGGGCACCCATCTGCCACAGCCAGCCTGGGAGCAGGGAGTGTCACTGGCAGTAGCACTCTGCTGGGGACAGGGAAGGGTCTTGGTGCACTGCATGGGAGAGGACACTGGTCCTTTGCAAGCCTGATGGCACCAGCAGGAACACAGCCTAAACCTGCCCTCTCCAGAGGTACTTACATCCCGGCCAGGATCTCCCTGCTTTCCCGGGTCCCCCTGCAGACAAGGAGAAGGTGAGGACAGGGACACACCTACCCTGCCAAAGCTGCCCCTCCAGAGCATCCCCAGCCTGGAGCAGAGGGTGTACAGGGGGACAGCTCCTCCCACCCCACCATCCCTCTGTCCCACAGCTCCCACCCGTGCACCCAGGCACAGACACTCCCCCCACACTCACCCGCAGCCCAGCGGACCCTGGGGGCCCAGGTTTGCCTTCCAGCCCGTTGCGGCCATCCAGCCCTGGCGGGCCTCGGTCCCCCTGTAAGAGAGCAGAGAAGGATGGCTGGAGCTTTGGGGTGGGGTGGGAGTGCTGTGGGGCAACCCTCAGCCCCCAGTCCTCTCACCTTCTCTCCTGGCAGGCCTCGGTCCCCAGGGTCACCCTACGGGCCAGAAAAGAAGTGAGCATCATCTCCCATTAACAGGAGCTGCACAGGGCACAGCTCCCCATTCAGACCACCCTGAGAAAGGGGACACTTACCCGTGTGCCAGGGGGGCCACGGGGGCCCTCCACACCCTGCAAGAAAGAGACACTCCCAGCAGAGGGGCATGGGGGTACAGGAGGGGGTCCTGGCTGCTCAGCAGGCAGTCCCTGCACACCAGGACACCTGGCTCTCCTGCAGAACATCACCCCTCATGCTGCCCCAGTGCCTCCCACAGCAGGGACCCAGCACCTACCCTCTCTCCAGGCACTCCAGGGGAGCCAGCATCACCCCGGGCACCCTTGGCGCCGTCCTCACCCGGGTCCCCAGGGTCCCCCTGCCAGGGAAAGGCACGGTGGTCAGAGGGTACTGTGCTGTACCAAGCCTGTGCCAGAGTACACAGCGCTGGTGCTGTGTGCTTTCGGGGTGGGATGAGAGGAACAGTCTCAAAATAAGAGGCACAGGCTGAAAAAGAGGTGGCTGGGCTCAGAGCAGCTCCTGCTGGGGCAGTGGGGGCCAGAGTGTGGCTGCAGAAGAAAGGCATCGAGCAGCACTGCTGAGCCAGGAGCCAGCTCGGCCACAGCTGGGACCACAGTGCCTCCCAGCACTGAGCACAACCTGTGGCCAAAACTGTCCTGAGCCTAAGCTGGGTTGCAAAAGCAGAATGCCCAGAGTGTTGGGTGTTGCCACGGGACCCCTGAGGGGCTGGGGAACCAGGAGCACAGCAGTTCCTTTGGAAATCTCAGTCCTACAGGGCCTCCTCCCACCACAGGGCGCAAGTGTCAGCCCCTGTGTCCCCAAGTTCCATGTGCCTCTCAGTCGTGGGGCACATCAGCTGCACGTGGCAGAGGCTGTTTTGGGCAGGGAGGGCTTGATGAACAAGGATCCCAGTGGCCAGGCAGATCCCAGAGGACAGCACAGGGTATCCCACCACCAGCACCCCAAGGACTCACTCATTACCTTCTCACCCTTTGCCCCCACTCCTCCGAGCCCAGCATCGACCTGTGGGGCAGAGAGGAGCTGCTGGAGCACACGGGGCTGGACACCAGCCCATGAGCACGGAGAAGAGGGAGGCAGAACTTACAGCTCGTCCTGGGGGTCCGGGGGGCCCCTGAAAGAAGGGCAAGGGGAGCAGATTAAGGGGAGCTGGCACAGCCCTGGGGAGGGCACAGCTGGCTCTGGGGTGGGGGGCCACACGTCGCCCTGCCATCACTCACCGGGTCTCCACGGTCACCCTTGCTCCCTGGTGCTCCAGGGCTGCCCTGCAGGAAAGAAGGATGGAGTCAGAGGGGGAGGGAATGGGGGAGCCGTGGGGTGTGGCTCCTGTGGGATGGGGGGTACCCCTGGGGTGAGGGTGGGTGTGGGACAGTGAGGTGTGAGGGGTGGTGGGCGTCCACGGAGCAGTGGGCACATACAAGGGGGTACTCACGTTCCTGCCTTCAGGTCCTGGGTCCCCCAGGTCACCCTTCTCCCCGGGGGGGCCACGGTAGCCAGGAAGGCCCTGGGAGGAGGGCAAAGGGAAGATGTGCATTAGCAGGAGCCACCTGAGGCCATGAGTCTCTCCTGCCCAGGGTGCCCAGCAGCCCTGCACTTACCCGGGGACCCCTGTCTCCAGGCTTGCCAGGCAGACCCGCTTCACCCTGTGAAGAAAGAGGGGGTGAGCGGGGGGCAGTGGGAACAGGGGCAGTGGGAAGAGGGGCAGTGGTCCTGGGGACCCTCACTTACCGGTGTGCCTTCGTCACCTTTCTCTCCTCGCTCTCCCTGAGGCACAAATCAGTGGGCACCGGCCAGGAGAGAAGAGTACAAGTCACCAGCATCCCCCTGCTCCCTGCCAGCCCCCTTGTCCTCAGGGCCACAGTGCCCCACAGCCCCTTGTCCCACACTACCTCCTTGCCTCGCAGCCCGATCTGCCCAGGGGTGCCTGCTCGGCCCGGCTCCCCCTTCTCCCCTGGCTCTCCTGGGTCACCCTAGGCACGGGAAGGGGCAACAGTCAGGGCAGAGTCTGGGCAGCTGGGAGAGAAGGGGCACAGCCTGCAGGAACAGCCCCTCCAGAGCCAGCCAGACAGACAGATGGACGGACAGATGAATGGAAGAGCAGTGACGTCACCTTTGGGCCACTCCTGCCTGTGAGGCCAACGATGCCCTGGTTGTTGGAGAGGAAGAGCAGGTGTCACTGGGAGCCCCGGTGACCCCTCGCCAGGGCAGGGACCAGGCCATGAGCTGGTGCCCCCAGGGTGCCCCCAGACTCACCCGATCGCCCTGCTCGCCTTTGGGGCCAGCTGGCCCTGGGATGCTCAGGCCAGGGGGACCCTAGACATGAAAGGACACAGCATGGAGCAACAGCACGGGCACCACGAGTCTGGAGAGGGCTGTGCCATGTGCCCTGTGCTTCCTGTCCTCAAGGCAGTACTCACACGGGCACCTTTATCGCCTGTGTCACCCTTGGGGCCAGGAGGTCCTTCTGGTCCGGGGAAACCTCTTTCACCCTGGAGCAGACAAAATCAGCACCCAAAACCACCCATTTCCCCCTCCACTGCAGCTGTGGACCAGGCTTAGGACCAGGATGAGCCCAACTGTGCAATGCCCCTCCCCAGCCCACAGCCGTGCCCAGAGGGTGGAGGGCACAGCTGGGCCAGGGTTACCTTCTCTCCAACACCAGCCACGCTGGGAGCCTGGAGGGGAAGCAGAGGAGACCATGCTGGGCACTGCCCATGGCTCCCTGTCCTGGGGCTGGGGCAGGCAGAGGTGGAGGTGCTGGGCAGCATCACTTACTGGCCTGCCAGGCGGTCCTGGATCGCCCTGCAGAGAGACAGGTGTCACTGCCAGCCCCTTCCCCAACAGACCCCTGCCACCCCACCGGGACCCCTCTTTGCCCTCACCTTCTCCCCCCGGGGGCCAGTCGGTCCTGGAGCTCCCTGTGGCAAGATTGGAGACCTCAGGGGGCAGGCAGTGCCTGGGAATGTGCACCCAGAGCATGGCAGCTCCTGGCTCCACAACACCACACCCACTACCCCGACTCACCTCTCTGCCTGACGGCCCCGGGTGCCCTGGGGCTCCCATCTCACCCTGCAGGAGAGGAGGAAGAGGAAGGTGGGTGGGCATCCTGCCATCCCCTGCCAGGGTGGCTGCTCCAGGGCAGAGCAGGCATCACTCCACCATGCCCTAGTGCACCTACCTTCTCACCCTCTGGGCCTGGCACACCACGGTCTCCCTGCAGAGCAGAGCAGAGGAGGGTTTCAGGGAGCCTTCCTCCCTCTACATCATACTGCCCCCACCTCACACACTGCCCCAGAGCTCTTCATGAGTCAGTCCTGGATCCCAGCCAAGACCACTGGGGTGCGACAGCCATCCCCAGGCACTGCCCCCACCATTCTCAGGGACACCAGGACCGGCCAATGCCGCCCTGCCTTGGCCCCTCTCACCTTCTCACCCGTCTCTCCCAGCTCGCCCGGTGCCCCACGGTCTCCCTGGTGCAGGAGGAACAAAGGGTCAGGGGCAGCAGGACCTCTGGGGGACACCCTGGTTCCTGTCACAGAACCCAGAACCCCCTTCTCTCTGCCAAAGGCATGGCAAGAGCGTCCCCTCGGTCCCTGCACCACTCACCTTCCTGCCCTGCTCCCCCGGCGGTCCCCGAGGACCCTGCAGAGGGGAATGGAGACCTTGTCACCTTTGTCACCTTTGTCACCTTTACAACAATCACATTTGGTGTGACAAGGCAAATGCCCAGGCTGCTCAAAGCAGGAGAGCTCAAGTGTGCCCTCGGGGCTTGGCTCTTGGCATGGCCAGCTCCAGCCTGCCTTACCTTCTCTCAGGAAACTCACCCTGTCTCCTGGGTCCCCGGGGCGGCCAGGTGAGCCTGGAAAACCTTCTGCACCATCACCCTGGGGATTTGGAGAGGTGATAGCCATGCTCATGACACGAGGATGCCCATTAGATGGGAATTCTCACTGGAGAGTGCTGTGAGGTCCAGCCCCAGTGGGGAGCATCCCTGCCACCTTCTTACCTTCTCTCCCTTCAGGCCAGGGGGCCCAGCAGGTCCCCGAGGCCCAGGGTCCCCAGGGAGGCCCTGAAAGAGAGAAAATCTCAGCCCCTGGGCATGCAACTCAGCCCTGGGCACACACAGCCACTGAAGCCCTGATCCCCTCTGCCAACCCTGTTGGCCTGGGGGCTCAACTCACTGGGGGTCCAGGGTCCCCTCGAGGTACTGCCCCATCTACGAATCCAGGGGGGCCCTGCAGAGAGAAGGGTCAGCTCCCATGTGGTTGCCCTGAGGGCTCAGTCCTCCCCAGCACCCTGAGGGGCTGCAGTGCCCTAGGACACTCAAGGGACCCCCATCCAGTAGGGCAGAGGAGTCAGGGAACTGCACAGCCACTCACCCTTTCTCCTCGGTCACCCTTTTCTCCCTGCAAGGGCAAAAAAAAAAACAACAAATAATGGCAGGTCTGGGCTGTTCCCATTCCCTCCTTGAACAGAAGAGGAACATGTGGGTAGAGCCCATCATCAGTGGCATTAAGGTATGTGCATGCCAAGTGCCTCACCCCACACTGCCCAGTGCCAGCCACAGCTCAGGCACGAGCATCTGTGTGCAGGCACAGCTGGTGAGGGAACAGCTGGTGAGGGCACAGCCCACGAGCAGGGCCAGGAGGAGTCCAGGGATGAGCAGCTCCAAGCAGCTGCCTGTTCCCCCATCCCTGTGCCCACACGTCCCCCAGCCATCCCCATGCAGCACTGGGGGGATGTACCTTCACAAACTCTCCTGGAGGTCCTGGTAGCCCCATGGGTCCGAGTGGACCAGGAGGGCCCGGATCACCAAGAGGCCCCCGTGGGCCAGGGATCCCAGGTGAGCCGGGGCTGCCCTGGAGGACAGAGGGGCTCCATCAGCTGAGGCTGAGGTGTGGGCTGGGGGTGCTGGCAGAGACCCCTTCACATCCGTATTCCCACACCTACCGGCACACCCGGCTCCCCTCTCGGGCCTGGCAGCCCCTGTTCTCCATCCGTGATCACCCTGGGCTCTCCCTGCATGAGGTGGGGGAGGAAAAACCAGTGACCACATGTGCCCTGTTGTAACCACAGTGCCACACAGCCAGGAGTCTGGCAGGGAGATGGGGAGACCCTGGGGCCAGGAGATGCCAGGCACCAAGATGTGCCCACCAGGGTCCCCAGTGCTCCCCAGGGACCCTGTGGGACAGCCCCTGTCCATCACCTACCGGTTCACCTTTCTCCCCCTTTGGGCCAGTAAGTCCCATGGGCCCACGTGTCCCCTGGGAAGGAAAGATGAGAATGAGAGGGGGTGTTGGGTATGAGAAGGGTTGGGGAGGGTTGGGGCCATACTCACAGGATCCCCTCGAGGGCCAGGGATGCCCTGGATGCCCTAGGAAACAACAGCTCAGGAGGTGAACACACCCCTGCCAGCCAGGGGAATAAGGATGGGATGAGATGGAATGGGGTGGGGTGGCATGGCATGGCATGGCATCTCCAGCCAAAGCAATGCTAGACAGTACACTTTGCCTGGGACACACACACAGGAGACAGCAGTGACCCTGCCAGCTGCTGAGACTCCCCCAGCACAGGGAGCAGGGGAGCAGGCTGGAGCAGGGAGCAGGCAGGGTGATGGGAAGAGCCCATTGTGCAGCAGCAAAGCCAAGGAACACCCTTACTCACTGGCTGCCCAGGTGATCCAGGATTCCCAGGGCGTCCAGGGCTTCCTGGTGCCCCATCAGCTCCAGGAAATCCCTGCAGGACAGAGGAGCATCATGCCAGTATCTGGTGTACCCCAGCACTGCCAGACCCCTTCAGTGCCCGAGGCAGTGCTGCTCCCAGCCCTGGGAGATCAGGGCAGCCCCAAGCCAGAGCTGGGTTCCAGGGAGCCTTTCCCCATGTGCTGAGCTGGGGCGTGTGGGTGCCGTGTGGGGCTGGACTGGAGTTCTTCAGTGGGATTTCCCCTCCAGCATAAATGTGGAGACCAAGTGGACAAAGGGCAATGAGAGGCCCCATGGAGCCAGGTCACTGTGTCCAGGGATCCTGGGGTGCCTAGATGAGGGGCCAGAGGTACTCACCCTGTCCCCCTTCTTGCCCAGACCCTCGGCACTCTCTCCTGGGGGACCCTGTGGCCCTGGTGGTCCTGGAGAGCCAGGAAGCCCGTGGCGACCCTGGAGACACAGGGGAGAGGACAGGCTGGGTGGCAGGTGGTGGTCAAGAGGTGTTGCCTGTTTACCCCTGTAGCAAGGGCTGGACACATCCTTGCCCCACAACCACCCACTGGCAGGACAAAGGGACCAGAGAACATGAGGACATGAGGACCATGACACTGCCCTCCCCAGGGAGCTGTCCCTCTTATGCCCCCCTCCATCAGCTTATTACCGGCTGCCCAGGGAGACCTGGTGGTCCCATACGTCCTTGCAGTCCCTGCAGAGACAAAGCCAGTAGTCAGCATCCCCTGTGAGCTGACGTTAGCATGGCTTGGGAGATGCAAAGCTCCCAAAGCCACCAGCTGGTGGCGGGGTGTCACCAGAGCACTCACTGCCTCACCGCGGTCTCCCTTCTCGCCCTGCAAGGGGACAGAGGGAAGGGGTTAGGGGCTGGCACTCTTGTGCTCAACTCCCCACTGAACTTCTGCTGTCAGCAGCTAGGAGTCCATAACCCATGCTGAGCACCTGTGGCACAGCACAGCATGGCACAGCCTTGAGAAGCTCACCTTGGGGCACTTCACAGTGCAGGGCTGTGGCTTCGGAGCCGGCTGGCAAGAAAAGACAAGCCTGTGTGAACCCAGGGATTGGAGACCCCCCGGCTTACATGGGCTGCTCCCCCTGCACACCCCTGGGGTACTCTGGCCCTTACCCTGGTGGAGATGATGGTGCAGAGGTCATCAGTGAGCTCTCCCTCCAGCTCTGCCAGGTCGCTGCCATGGTAGATGTACCGTGGGTCCTCACTGGTGACCATGCGCCGGAGCTGCTCCCGGTCTGCCCCCTCCAGGCCAACTGCCAGTACCTGGACCCCTGAGCAGAGAGCACCCTCAGCACCCCACAGGACTCCCTGCACACCCTGATGAGACCCTGTTAATCCTCACCCCCAGCCTTGACATCCCTGGCCACGGTGATGGCATCATCCCCAGAGGGGCTGTCAGCCAAAACCACCAGCACTGCTGGCACCCCGGGACGGCGCCCTGCACCAGGACTCAGCAGGTAGGTCCTGGCAAAGGAGATGGCTGCCCCTAGAGAGGGAGAAGGAAGAAGGGACAGTCAGCAGGATCCTGGAAACCACTGCCCCAGCTCCTCGTGCCGGCCCTCACCGATGGCATTGCCGCTGGGCTCCTCATAGCGCATGGCACGGATCTGCTCCAGCACGGTGGGCAGGTCACCGGAGCGGTTGAGCAGCAGCCAGGGTAGGCTGCGGTAGCTGTATGTGGCCAGGGCCACCTGCAAGGGTGCAGGGGAGCAGTGGGCACCACGGCCCACCCACGACCCCCCGTGCCCCAGTGCTGTGGCAGCAGCCTACCTGTGTGCCCTCGGGGCCCAGGCGGCCCAGGGCAGACACGGTGTTGGAGAGCAGCGTGCGGACAGCGTTGGCACCAGAGGAGCTGTTGCGGGTGCCGTGTACTAGAAAGACCACGTCACCGAGGGCATCCCTGCAGACTGCAGGACGGGAAGGGGGTGAGGCCACCACCAGAGTGGAGACAAGCCCAGCCCACCCCTGCAGGGACCCCACAGTACCTGTGCGTTCAGTGACGGACGCCTCGGCACCGGGTGTGCTCCCCAGGAGCGGCCGGAGGGTGAAGGTGTAGCGCTGGCCCAGGCGCAGCCCAGAGACCTGCTGGGAGCTGGCAGTGCTGGGCAGCGTCCGCCCCTTCTCCCCACCAGCTGCCACCCAGGGGACAGTCAGAGGGATCAGCAAGCCCCTGCGGGGATGCTGCCCACCGTCCTGGAGCCACCCACTCGTCTCACCTGCAGGAGGACTCCAGGAGAGGACATAGCCAGACGCACCGGGGATTGGGGTCCAGGTGAGAGTCACCGAATCCCTCTGCACCTCTGTCACCCGCAGGCTGGTGATGTGGCTTGAGGCAGCTACCAAGGGGGAGGAAAGGGTGTCCCAGCTTCATAGGGCAGCCCTCAATATGCTCCCTCTCCAGCCCAATGCTGGGACAGTCCAGTCCCTGGGTGCCCCTCTGGGCTCAAGCCATGTGTCAGGGGCTCGTGCTGCCTTGGCCCCAAGCAGTCCCTTACTGGTGATGGCAGTGATGGTGGCTGGCTCGCTCTCCCGGCTGCCAGCCAGGCTGGTGATGCTGATATGGTAGTGCCGGCCCGGTTCCAGTCCCGCCAGGGCATAAGAGCTGGAGGTGGCTGGGAGCTGCTGGCTATGCTGGGGCCCCCCTGGCAGGGGCAGAGAGAGGTGAGGGGGTGCAGGTGGGGGCTGGCAGGGATGCAGGGCTCCAGCCAGCTATGCTTACCTTCAGCCAGGCGCCAGAACAGACGGTACCCAGTGCTGCCAGCCACTGGCAGCCAGGCCAGGCGCAGGCGGTGCTCCGAGGCCTCCGTCACCTGGAGGCCGCTGACGGGGCGTAGGGGGACTGCCTCCGCTGCGGAGCACAGGGGCAGGCATCAGGGGCAGGAGTGCCCAGTGCCACCCAGGGTGATGCCCCCTGCCCCAGCACTCACGGGTGGTGACCACAACGGAGACGGGGTTGCCTTCCCGGTTGCCAATGAGTGCCGTCACCTTCACAGTGTAGGAGACGCCTCCCTCCAGGTTGGGGATGTCAAAGGAGTTGGTGTGGCCAGGAACTCGCCGGCTATTCTCCGACCCCCCTGCCAAGGACTGTGGCATCAGGCCCCCCACCCTGCTGCCCTCACAGCCCACCCCCATCCCCACCCCACAGTACCGTCCCTGCGGCTCCACACCACACGGTAGGCAGTGGCTCCCGGCACACCGACCCAAGTGACACGGGCAACATTGCTCCTGGATGCCTGCACCTCCAGCTGGGTCACCTTCCCCACCTGCTCCGGCACTGTGACACCAAGAGGGCCACTGTCACCCTGGGTCACGGCCAATGGCACCAGACAGCACTGTCAGGCAGGGGTTACCTCACCTATCCGTCCCGTGGCAGTGACAGGGCTGCCCTCACGGCCATCCACAATGGCTGAGACACCGACGGTGTAGACAATGTTGGCGTGCAGCCCATCAATGGTGAAGGTGGTGGGGTCAGCAGGGAGGAAGCGGGATTTCTTCAGACCTAAGAGATGGCTGGGATAGGAAGGGCTCCAGCACTGCTGCCACAGCACCCCATGGTCCCTACACTCACCGTCACTGCCTTGCCACGTCAGCAGGTAGCCCCCGGCACCTGGGAGCCCTCTCCAGGTGACCCGCAGCTGGCTGGGACCGGCCTCCATCACCCGCAGATCCGAAATGCTGCCCACCTCTGGATACTCTGCACCACCCCACAGCATCACAGCATCACCTTGGGGAGTCCAAAGGGACCCCACAGCCGAGCTGCCGTCCCAAGGGGTTGCAGGGGGATAGACACAGCTGCACGCCAGAGTGGGAACATCAAATACCAGAACTCCTGGCACCAAATCCTGGCATGGACTTACTGAGGCGGACGGTAAGTGTGGCAGCACTGCCCTCCTGGCTGCCCGCTAGTGCTGAGACACGCACCAGGTAGGTGATGCCCTCCCGGAGGTCACCAAGCTCCAGCCCCGTCTGGCTGCCTGGGATGCGCCTCGTCCTCTCCGTGCCATCTGCCAGGAGTAGGGCAGTGCAGTGGCTCGGTGGCAGCTGCTCAGGATGCCCCAGGTGCCACCCGTGGCCCTGCCCACAGACTCACCCTGGTTGTTGCGCACCACCACTTTGTACTCGGTGGCACCGGGGACACCGGTCCAGCTCAGCCGTACCCACCTGCCCGATTCCTCAACGAGACGCAGGTCTGACACAGCACCCACGGGTGCCTCCACGCCTGGGAGGGGACATGTGAGGCACAGCTGGAGTGGCACAGCCTGGACAGCACAACCCCCATACTCATCCTGGGCTGTGACCAGACACCTGGGGGGTCTCATGGCCAAGGCAGTCCTCAGGCTGAGCAATGCCCATTGGGACGTCCCTCCATGCCAAAGGCTTGGAACGCGGGGGGACAACTCAGGGGACCCTCAGCAGCACTCACCTGTCTGAAAGGTGGTGACAGGGGTGGCCACCTCCCCACCATCATAGAGCGTGTAGAGGGTGATGCGGTACTCGGTGCCTGGCTTCAGCCCCGTCAGCTGGTAAGTATTGGTGCTGCTGGGGAGAGACACTGTTCTGGGGGGCTCTGGTCCTGCAGGAAGGGAAGGATCACAGCCAGCTGCTGGAATGGAGAGCCCACAGGGGCAACAGGCACCCCAAGCTTACCTGTGGCTCTCTTCCACTCCAGACGGTAGCCACGAGCATCACGGGCACTGGTCCAGAGCACTTGGATGGATGTGGGGCCCAGGATGTTGGTCTGCAGCATCTGGTCTGTACCTGCCTCTGCAAGAGGGACCCCATGGGCCAGGGTACCTTGTGCCACCCTGCTGCCAGCCACCCAGCCCATGTCTCTGGTCCCTGTACATGGCAAGGACAGGGGCGATGAGGGGTGGTCCCTGCCCCCTCCCATGCACAGCAGCAGGATGGCATCACCTGTACCCAACACTTACCTGTCCTCTGCCGCACAGTGGCTGTGGGCCCCTCCAGCTGCCCGAACAGTGGGGCCACTGTCACCACATAGTCAGTGTTGGGCTGCAGCCCCACCAATGCATGTGACACCTGCCCGGCATCCAGGTCCACCCTGCGCCTGTCCTGCCCTGTGGAAGCCAGTGCAGCAGTGCCTTGGGGAGGTCAGGCAGCAGGTGCCACAAGCTCCCTCCTGTCCTTCCCCACAGGGGCCACCAGCAGAAGGGGCACAAGCTCTGGGAGAGGCACGTACCAGTGCGGGTTGCCCAGGAGAGCCGGTAGCCGCTCGCGCCCCTGACAGACTGCCAGGCCAGCAGCATGCTCTGTGCTGAGACGTTGTGGACAGTCAAGTGCTGCACGCCCACCAGGTGTCCTGTGGAAGTGAGGTGACTGTCCACCTCCCGCATGAGAATGGGGCAGGGAGCAGCGGGAAGCACCTTCACCTGCAAACTGCTGTCTCCAGGAAGACCCTCGCCCCTGCTCAGGGATGCTAACCACACTGAGGCCACTGAGGGCAGCCCATGCTCAGGCGGCTCCTTCAAAGCATCAAACTGTGCAAAATAGAGCTCAAACGTCTTCCTCCTAATGCCTTAAATACTTTCTGTGAGTTAAGAGTGCCTGGGGCAGCTGAAGGAATTGGTTTGCCAAAATCTGATGCTTGCAAAGGTGTTGCCCTGGGGCCTCACCCCCACTCCTACCCGGAGATGCTTTCCAACAGCCTCTGCCCTGGTGGAAACCACACTTTCCTCCCACAGAGCACTGTACTCAAACCCTGCATTTTTTCAGTCAACATTTTTTATGTCATGGGAAGAAAGCTCTGGTGGAAACACTCCCAGAAGGCTGCAAAGGAAATTGGGAGCACACAGTGCTGCATCCTTCCCTGGGAGCAACTTTTGGGGCCCAGAGCATCGTCTTGTAGCCACACTCACCTGCATCCCCATCCCACCCCCACAGGCAGCACCAGGCCAGGCAGCCCCATCCCAATGGGGCACAATGATTGGAGGGGGACATCCCTGTGCTGGGAACCCTTTCCTAACCCTGGCTGGGCCCAGGGCTGAGCACAGCACTCACGTGTCCGGGCGGTGAGGGTGGCAGGGGCAGCGGGCTGCTGTGCATAGAGGGGCTGGAGCATCACCAGGTACTCAGTATTGGGCTGCAGGTTGGTGAGCGTGGCTGACTGTGCGCTGGCCGCCAGGCTCTTCTCCTCTCTTTGGGGTGCTCCTGGAGAGGTGTGGGGGGCACAGGGACATAGCACACACCAGGCCCAGCAGGGAAGGGATGTCTGTGGGCCTGCACCCTGCCCTGAGGATGCCAGTCAGTGCCAGGGGTGGGGAGCACCGGGAAGAGACTGGGACATGGGCCAGGGCAGGGGCACCCCCTGGAGTGCCCGAGGCCAGGGTGAGGCTGCCAGGTGTGTGGCTCCAGCCCCGTCCCTGGCTGGGATGGGGGTCTGCTGCCTGCCCCCCATGTGCAGCAGCCATCGGGGTACACGCCAGGCCCCCAGCCATTGTGCAAGCCTAAGCACACACCCTGAACCTTGCACATGAAGCCTCGGGGTGCAGGAATACAGAGGCTGCCTGCACACCTCTGCACACACGCGCCCCACGCCCAGCGCACGCGTGCCGGCTGCCGAGGTGAGGGTGGGTGGATACACACCCACAGCACTCCGGGCATGTATCCCTGCATTGAGGCTCATCCATGCATCCCTCTGCCCAGGGCGCTGCACAAAGACAGGGTGCCCAGGCAGCACCGACCCCCACCTTGTGCAGCATAGCTGAGGCTGTAACCCTGGGGGGGCTCGGGGCCTGGCTGCCAGGCCAGCCGCAGAAAGGTCGGTCCAGTCTCCACCACGCGAAAATCCAGCATGGAGCCAGCACGGCTTTCTGGAGGCACACAGAAGCAGGGATGAATCCCCAGCCCCAGTGCCTGCACTCACCCGTCCCTATGGACATGGGCACTCACGGGTTCGTGCTCGGCCAGACACCGACTCGCCGATGCTGTTGGCATACTGGGCAGTGACAGTGACCAGGTACTCTGTCCCAACACGCAGTCCCCGTAGCACGGTGTTTGTCTCCCGTGGCCCCACGCTCACCTGGGCAGGAACAATGTCACCCCCTCATCTTCCCCAGGTCACACATGGAGCCACCAGGAACACCCAGAAACTCTGAGCAGTCAGGTGGGGGCACTCACCTCCTGCCTCTCTGCCATGATGGGCTGCCCTAGCCCTGTCAGTGGCACGTACTGCACCCGGTAGCCAGTGATGGGACCACTGGCTGCTCTCCAGCGGACCTGCAGACTGTCGAGGCCCTGCTCCGGGATCTCCAGGTTGGAGGGGCCAGCGTGGCTTGGCCCATCTGTGGGGTAGCACAGGGGCTGTTGGCTCCACAGTGCATGAAGCAGAGAGGAAATGTGGCAGCACAGATGTGTGCCCCATGGGATGGGATGCCAGGAGGTCATTTTGGGGATGGGACGGATGCTAAGGGTGCACGGTCTGGCACCCAGCACTGTCAGCACCTGTGCCCCTCAGGGAGGAGGGTGATGGCCCATACCCAGCAGGCGCAGGGTGCCCCCAACAGTCGTGCACACCCTTCGTGTCATCAGTGGCACCAGCGTGTCCAGCAGCTTGAAATCGCCGATGTAGAAGAAGAAGGCCTCAGTAGGCATTGAGGCCACACGGATCAGCTCCTTGCGATCAGCATTCTTAATACCTGGGACAGAGGGAGATGGTGGGCGAGGGAGGAACCTGAACCAAGCAGAAGACTCTTTCACATGGTGCAGAAGCCTCACTCACCCACGGCAAAGACCTTGATGCCCTGGCTCTTCAACTTCGCTGCCGGCCCCTCGGCATCGTCCTGGGACTTGCCATCCGTGATGAGAATGCAGATCTGCAGGGCCAGGAAAGAACTGTGGGATCCAGCATGGGGTCTGTGGGCCTGACACTCCTCCCCATGCTGCCAGGAACACTGCTCTGCACATACCTGGGGGACCCCAGGCCGGCGCTGCGTGGGGCCAAAGAAGTTGTCAGCAATGTAGCGGAGGCCAGCGCCTGTCCGTGTATTGCCACCCTTGTAGCTCAGCTGCTGGATGGCCCTCCGGACACTTGTGCCATCAGTGTGCTGGGAGAATGAGAACTCCACCCTGGGGAGTGCAGGGGGGCACTGTCACTTCCCAGCCCTGCCACCCTGCACCCCACGTGCCCCCTCCCTTGGGCTCACCGTGGGTCATCACTGTACTGTGCCATGGCAAAGCGCACTGCCTTCTCACCCACCACCTGCACAAAGGGCCCCACCAACTCCTCCATGAAGGTGCGGACAGCACGGAAGTTGTTCCTTCCAATGCTGGATGAGCCATCCACCAGGAAGGCGATGTCAGCCTCCAGCACATCCTCACACACTGCTGCAGAACAGTGACAGCACTCAGGGCACAGACTGGCACTCTGGCACATTGGTGCTGAAGCCCTCTTATTGTCCTGCCCACCATGTGGACCCAGTGCTCAGCACCTACCTTGGCTCCTCTTCTGTGCCATGGCAGCTGGAGGACGCAGGAGCGCCGGGAGCACAGCCAGGAGCAGGAGTTGGCCACTCATCGTGGGAGCCTGCAGGATAGGATGCTGCCACCGCGGTCTCACACCAGCCCCAAGCCTTGGGGACAGCAGTTCGGGAGGTTCCCAGCACCACCCGTGCCAGAACGCCTGGCAGCGCTGGAGGGCAGGGTGCCAGTGCCGCCCCAGGCACCCCACGGCGCAGGGAGAGCCCCGCTTCGGGCCGGGCCAGGCGGGCGGTAGCTGGCCCGTGAACAGCCGCTGGGGCTGTCCGCGGTGCGGGGATACAGAGAGCGCCTGGCCCGGTACAGCCCGGGTTCTGCCCCCGCCACCCCTTCCCCTGCCCCACGCCACGGCATCGGCAGCGGCGCGCCCCAGCCGCGGCTGCACTTGGCCCCCGCCCGCAGGGGCTCCTCCCGCCCCAGGAAGGTGCTCCAGGGCAGCGGGAAGCCAGCGTGGGCAGCCCTGCCCGCCAGACCCCTGCCCCCCTGCCTGGAGTCCCCTGCCTGCCAGCCCCCTGCCCCCTGCCTGGAGTCCCCTGCCCGCCAGATCTCTGCCCCCTGCCTGCCAGCCCCCTGCCCGCCACCAGGGGAGGCACCGCCTCCACGGCCGCAGCGGCGGAGCGCACCTGGCCCGGTCCCCCCGCGGTGGCTCCGCCGGCTCCCGGCCCCAGCCCAGCCCGGCCCAGGCGGTGCGAGCCCCGCCGCGCAGGGTGCCCGAGTGCCCACGGGTGCCCGCACGGAGGCTCGGTCCTGCGAGTGTCCCCCACCCGCGGCGGGACCCCCGCCACAGCGCCACGCTCACCCACCGCCCCCGCGGGGCCGCTCCGTCCCGCAGAGCTCCGAGCCGATCCGTGCCGAGCCGTGCCGGGCGCAGGCGGTGCCGGCGCGCACCGGCCCCCGGCGCTCCCGCCCCTTTATGGAGGGCGGCCCGGAGCACGGTCCGGGGGGAGCGGAGCGGCGCGGCCCCCGCCCAGCCCGGCCTCCCAAAGGGCTTTTCCCACCCGCTGCCCTGAGAGGGAAGGAAGGAAAGAAGGCAGCTCCTCAGGCTCTTCCCGCTGGAGCGCCACCCGGGCTGCCCCGCGGCTGCACGGCGTGCAGCGGCTCCGGGATGGGGATGAAGCCGGAGGGGGCTGGACACCCGGGAACGGTTGCTGCTGGATTTGCCACCGAGACCTCCGTGAGGGGCTGAGTGGGCTCCAGTAAGCCTCGAGGCAGTTTTCTCTCCAGCATCTGCATCTTTCAGGAAGGTGAGCAGCTCTGGCACCTGCCAGCCAGGAGCTGGCCACCCACTTCCATCCATCCATCCATCTCATGGGAATGTGTCCTGGAGACTTGGGGCCTGGATCCAGGCAGACCTGGATGAAGCTGCCACAGGGGCTTGAGCCCCTGGCACCATCTGGGTTAAAGCCTGGCTCTGAGCACTGGCCCTGGGAAGGGCACTGGTGGTGAAGAGCTGCTCCCCATGCCAGCACAGCTCCCACGAGGCTGCAGGACAGCCAGGCCTCATCCAGGATCTTTCCTGAACACACGGCTGGGGGTACCAGCATGTGGGGCCCTAGCACCCATGGTTCTAGTACAGGGACTGTGCTGGAGTCAGCCGTGGGATCATCCTGCCCTGCTCAGAACACCATCTCACAGCAGACTTGTGGCTGAGACCTACCCCAGAGCTGGAGAAACCTGCTGGAAAGCCACTGGTGATGTGGCTGCAGTTGCTGGGAGGAGGTGAAAGGGAGAAGATGCCCAGCAAGGCAATCAGGGACCCTGTGTTACCCTGGTGTCACTTCCTGCCCATCCTGTGACTGGTGGAACAGTCCCCTGAGGCTCCTCCTCAGCCCAGGGTGCACCCTTGACCCTCAGGGTGCTCCTCACCCCCAGGGCACCTGTGGGACCACACTGCTCCTTGGGGCATATCACACAGCACCTTATCCTCCCCTCTGGTGCCTGTGCTCACCTAGGGTTGACCCTGGCTCAAGGAACCTGCCATGCAGCCCATGCCACCTATCCCCTGTCCCCAGCACCCCACGTACCTGTGCCCTCCTGGCCACTGCCCCAGGGACTCCCCTCCGGCTCCTGGCAGGGCAATGGACAGACAGGTCCAGGGGCATCTTCTTGTGGGCAGCAGGAGGAGCAACAGTGGGGATCTCTGGGGCCCAGGGCCACCTCGCAGCTGGGGGCCGGGGGCAGGGCCACCGGCCACCGAGCAAAGATGCTCCAGGGTCGGCTGCAGGCAACTTTCCCAGGCACAAGCTGTTCCCAGGCAGGGGAGGAGCGGCGATGCCCTCGCTCTTCTTAAAGGTACAGCAAGCAGCGCATCCCCTCCTCTTCATTAGCCTTCCTCTCCTCAGACCTCAGCCCTGGCCCCCAAAGCTGGCGGGCGGGTTCCAAAGCTCGCCGTGCCCGCAGGTTTGCCCCTGCCTTCCCCAGCCCCGTGGGTCCGGCCGTGAGTCCAGCATCCTCAGGGCAGCACCATCCCTAAACCCTCCTCCCGCCAGAGCCCGTTTAATGAAGACAGGGCGGCCTGTTCCAATTAGACAAGGGGCTTCGTTAAACAGGGAGCGGAGGGGCCTGCCAAGGGCTCTGTGGCTGGCCCCGGGCCCGGAGCTGTGCAGCAGCCCCACGGGCGGTGCGGCGGCGGGGCACGGGGGCTGGGGGTCAGCACTGAACGGGGGCAGCGCCGGGGCGAGCATCGCCCCGCGGGCACCGCAGGCAGGGGCACCGGGGCAGCGACATTTCACAGCCATGCCAGGAGCTTTGCCCACCACCTCGGCCCCCAGGAGTGCGGCAGGCACTGCTTTGGGGTGGTCCCCAAACCCCAGTCACCCACAAGATGCCCGGCATCATCTTGACCATCTTGGCAGCAGCACTGCCCTTACATGAGCGCTGGAGTGGGGCACGCAGGGCTGCTGGGTCCCCAAAAGCAGTGTCTCCGCCTCCGCGGTGTTTCCCAGCTTCCCTCCGCATACCAGGAGCAGGGAAGGAATCTGCGGCCCCCGGCGCGGGACGGCGCTGCCTCTGCAGATGGAGAGCACCAGGTGTGAGTGACTCACGGGCACCCCGCGCCAATCCCTCCGGGGACATCCTGAAAGGCTGCAAACCCTTCTCAACGCCTGGAAGGCTGGCAGCCCAGCCACTAGTCATTCCCACAGCCCAGACCTGGGGTTCCCCACCGCCCACGCGGCTCAGCCCCAGAACATGCTGATTCCTCTACATTGACGCTGAACAAAATTTGTAGGGCTGACCCTGACCCCAGCTCCTCATCTGTGCATGCCAACCTGGTTCCCAAATGGCACTCAACAGCTGGCCAGATAATGAGACCTTCCAGGACACCTCCACGGGTGGTCTTTGCAGGGCACTGCCCAGGCTAGCACTAACCCTGAGCCTCACAGGGGTCATGCCACCCCCACGGAAGGGAAGCCCTGGTTTGAGAGTGTGCACAAGGAAAGCACAGGAGCTGAGCTTCTCCCTGCCCCTGCTTGCCAGGCATGAGGCCTCGCTGCTGCCTTAATGGGAAAGAAGAAAATCTTCAGCCCCAGGTGAGGTTTCAGCTCTCTGGGACGGGATGAGTCACACACCATGGTGAGGTACAGAGCCTGCTGAACTCGTGGTGCTGTGGGGATTGTTGCCCACCCTTTCCACCCTCTCCAGCCACTGCCTCTGGTGCTGATCTGACATGGGCTGGGATTCAGCACTACCCTTACAGGATTTTAGTTTTCTGGCCCTACTGTTGTCCCGCAGGGCTCCTCACTCCAGCAAAACATCAGCATTCCCAGCCAGTGGGGATGCATGGGACAGCTCTGGGGCTGCTGGGAGGGAGAAGCCACCTCTCTCAGCACTTTTACACTGGGGAGGGGAGCAGCACGGGGCTAGTGCCGAGGCAGGGGAGGAGTGGAGGATCTGGCCAGAGCCTGGAGGGGGAACCGTGTCTGCCACAGAGGCCAGTTGAGACATGCTCCAGGAATGTCTTTCAGAACCAGCCACCGCCAGCTCCATGATGTGGCACCCAGGCACCCAGCCCAGCATCCCAGGAAAGGGGCCCATAACCCCTGGCTATCACCAGTCAGCTCAGGGAGAGCCCAGAGGGACAGGGTGACACTCACAGTGCGGCCTTGGGGAACACTTGTGCCACCCCATGGGACAACCCAGCAACCCAAGAGATCACAAAATAGACCAGGGTGGGAAATGGTCAGCCCTTACCTCCTGCTGACCTACCCTGGTGGGTCTGGGGTGGTAGAAAGCCATGCCAGCCCTCCAGGCTGCACTTCACTAGGGAAACAGAAGCCTCCCAGCTCCCCTGTGCCAGAGGGGAGAGCTTAGAGCACCCTCCACCCTGCTGCTGCCCAAGGCCACATCCCTTGGCAAAAGGAATCAGAGTATGACATCAGGATGAAGTCATGACCAACGAGCTGCCCTCTCTGCCCAGCAGCTCTTGGGATGTCCAAAGTGAAGGGGTGCTCCCGTTTTTGGGGGACCTTATCTGCTGTGGAAGCAGCAGCAGTCTGGTGACAGAATGATGATGGAGGTAAGTGTAGCCACTGTAGCCAAGCTTGGGGTCAGGCTGAGCCTGCTGAGCCCCCCATCAGGGCTCCCCAGGGGGTGGGTGCATGTCCCAGCTCTCCCACAACTGCTGTGGAGGGATGGAAAGCTTTTCCTCATGTAAACTGTTGTGTCTGGAGGCTGCTGCCAGCACAGCTGCTCATCAGCATCGCACGAACCTGTGCTGGACTGTGGCCAGGCCCCGCTGGCCATGCAAAATGGGCTCAGGAGGGAATGGTGACACCACGGGGATGTGACCCTCCCCTTGGCCAAGCAGTGCAGGAGAAGGCAGCCCTGGTCAGCGTGATACAGAGGCCAGGCTGCTTCTCAGGGACAGCAAGTGAGGGGAGAGCCAGGCACCACCGGGACTCTGCCAAGGGCTGGCAGTGCTTTGCAATGGAATGGGGCCAGCATGGCAGAAAGGGAAGGTGACAATGGGGATGATGGAGGCAGGATAAGGAGCCAGCAGCAGTGAACGGGGCTCTAGAGTCCCTTGTTAAAAAGCTGCCCTCAGCTACATCCTGTGGTTGGGCTTTGGGTGATGCTGGGGATACCCAGAGAGGCTGGCCTGGGTGTCAGGGACCCCAGGGGAGGCAGGGGGAAGGCGTAAGCAGAATGCAGGCAGGGGCTGAAGTGCCCCATGCTGCAGGCAGCCACACACAGCCTGGCTCTTCTGCAGGAATCCAGCTCCTCGACTGACTGAGGCACGAGCTGCTCCCCTTCCCTTCTGGCCCTGCAGTCCCCACTTGCAGCGGGGTCCAGGCTCAGTAAAATCAACTTGCCTTGCCACTGAGAATGGGCATGTAGGAGATGGCAGAAATGCAGGGACCAGGTGCAGCAAAGCTTCCCCAGCACCTCTGCATGGGGCCAGTGCTGCCTTTTCCTCAAGCTGACAGTCTCATGGGGTGCTTGTGCCCCAGAGATGCCCCAGCCAGCCCAGCACACGCAGCTGGGGAAAGGAAACTCCTGCTGTTTCTTTGTAGGGGCAGATAAAAATTCCCTGCCCTGGGGTTACGAGGATTTTGGTGCTCCCAGCTCAGTCCTGGCCGCAGGGTTTGCAGGCAGCAGCAGGCAGTGGCTGGCAGTGCCCGGGGCACAGCCGGGCTTGGGGTGCACAGAGAGAGACCCAGGGATCCTGCAATGCAGGAGCCGGGTCTGGCAGAGCAGGGGGAACGGTTTCCTCTCGGATGCCTGCAAGGAAGGAGGAGATGAAGAGAAGCCGAGGGAGAGCTGCCAGCCCACGTCGCGCACACTCGGGGCATGTGCGGGCTGGGTCGAGGTGCGCAGAGCGTGACCGGACACGCGGGGGGCTGAGCCCGCCCGTGCCCGCCCGCAGCCCCCGGCGCTGCCCGCCCGCCTGCCCGGCCCTGCGCCGCTCCCCGGGCACCGCTGCTGCCGGCGGCCCAGCGCCTCGGGCCCGCTGAGAGATGCAGAGGTGAAAGGTGGCATTCCTGCAGCCGGCGCCTGGGAGAGCAGCTCGGGGCAAGGCCGGGTCACTGGGGCTTCCCTGCAGTGCCGGGGAAAGGCAGGAAATCATCTTACCTGCAGACACCAAGGTGCCACGCCTCCGGCCGCCTCCAGCCCTCACCTGCATCCCTCCAAGAAGGTGTGTGGCAGATGGGACCTGCTGGGTGCTGGGGGGCTATCACAGCAGCG